AAGCATCTTCCCCATCACATAGTTAATTAATTATTTTTTTATTTTTTATTAAATGTATTGGGGTGACATTGTTTAATAGGATCACATAGGTTCCAAGTGTACATTTCTATGATACAAGATCTGTATATTGCACCACCCAATGTATCCTTGAACTGTGGTAGAAAGGAAAGCAAAGAGTGGTGTCTCCTCTACAGTCAGACCAGAGAAGGAACTGTCATTAGTACTTGTCACCCAAATATAGCCAATTAGTAAGACCCAAGAGCAGTTGGAGGAAACCTATACGAAGTGTATTATATGAGGATCTATCGAAGTCTATCAAGTGTTCTCAGAATCTTTTTACTTAGGCTAGTGACCTGGCCCAGACAGAAAATAAAAATCCTGCAAAACAAACACAATTCTCAAAGAGGAGGTGTCTCAATAGAACAATGCTGTGTGGAGTTTCTCTGATTAAATCCTTGAACTGCCCACCCCCTACCCTTTAGAGTTTTTTCTGCCAGCTGAATTTGAAGATATTAGCGCTTGATTTCTAGCAACAAAATTAAAAACACAAGCAATTGTTTTGCTTTTCATAGGTGTGACTTATTTGCGAACACCTGTAACAGAAGAAAAGAGTAAAATTGATTGTCTCCTGTTTCTATAAGATCCTATGTCTTCAAAGATTTAAAGGGCAATGATTGTTTGTCCCAATTTCCCACTGCTTTTCTTGTGTTTCGAGGACTTTATTGTGACCACCCCCCCCCCCCCCCCCCCCCTCATTTCACTATGTCTATTTTGTCACCTCCCCTGCTTCTGTCTCTGTTCCCCATGTGTCTCAATATGGTCTTTTTAGCGTGGCTTTTCTTTTTCATTTTTCTTAATACTGTATATTTCTCTCGATCCCCTTTGTTTTATAGATGATCTCCTTTTTGCTTTTGGTTCTGTGGTGTCCTTTTATTAGTGCCAGATTGTTTTCCTAAAGTAACCTCCTTATCTCTACTCTCCCTCCTAAATTTCATGTTGACATTTTGAACTACCTACGAGATGGCTTTTATATTACTCTCAGATGCTTCAAATTTAACAGATCTAAACTCTAATCAACATCTTTCCCCTTCCATGGACAGGGGTGATTGTTAATTTCTGTATTTCTCCCTGTCACTCAGAGCCTTCTCAGTTTCTTTGCTTTCCACATACAATACACAGGTAAAGCCCAGAGACTCCATTTTCATGATGCTGTTCTTCCCTTGGTGATGACTTTGTTCAGACTCTTCTTATCTCTTCTTAGGGACTACCATGATGTCTTCCTGACTAGTTTCACATCTCCAGTCTCTCTCATTTCCAGTCCATTTACACTTGGTTTGCAGAATAAGCTTCTTAAAGCAGAGCTAACTTCAGTCACTATCTAATGAACATTTCCCTAGTGCCCAACCAAATGCCATATAAACATCTCCTCTGATGTTTAAGACCATTTGCAGTCCAGACTCACAGTAGCTCCACATTTTTTACTTTGATCTCATAGATTCATTAACTCATTTGTTAATTTATTCAATGGATATTTGAGTGCCTGCTACATGCCAGGCACAGCTATAGATAATCATTTTAGAAGTACCTAGGTACTTGCACAGTGACATGTTTCAAATTTTATTTGTCAAATTTTATTTGTAATCCACTGTTAAAATATAATCTTATATGCCCAGCCAGCATGGCTCAGTGGTTGTGCGTTGACCTGTGTACCAGGAGGTCACATGCCCAGGTTATGGGCTCAATTCCCAGTGTGAGGTTGTGCAGGAGGCAGCCAATCAATTATTCTCTCTCATCATTGATGTTTTCATCTCTCCTTCCCTCTCCCTTCCTTTCTGAAATCAATAAAAATTTTTAAAAAAAATCGTGTGTGGTTGAAATGGGGCCCCAGCAATCTCACGAGCCTCCCTTCCCTACCCTTTATGGATGATTAGTTAGAGGAAACCTATTAGCAATCTCTGAGGCATCATCACAGACTCCTGAGTCTGCTTGAAACAATTCAAAAAACACTGCTCTAGGCTGAAAGCAATGTTCCTTCAACACCCCGCAGGCCTGTGAGTTCTGCATCTTTGCTTATGCTGTTCCCTTGGCCTGAAACAGGGCCTCCCACTTTCCCATAACCATTTCTGCCTGTCAGAGAGTCAGTGCAATTGCTGTACACTTCCTGATCTCATTTTGAATTCAGTTTTTGCCCCTCCAAACCATTTTGCTTGACTTTCTCTTGGAGCACATCATAGTCTTCCTCATATATGAGTGCTCCCTGCATTCTCCCCTAAAAGCAACATGCCAACCATATCTGACCTCAAGCATCTATTTCCCAAAATACCCAGCCCTGGGCCTAGCATATCATGGGGCACTAACAAATAACTTAATTAGATTGACTTCTACTTAGTTACCTAATTCCCATCTCTGCCTGTAATAGCTCTTTGTTTTAATTCCTCAATTTGGTTCGTATAGTAGAGCCAGGTCTTCTTAAAATTGTTTATGCATCTTAATCACGAGGGAATCTTATTAAAATGCAGATCTTGATTCAGAAGGGTGGGGTTGAAGCACCCAGATACTGCATTTCTAACAAGTTTCTGGGTGATGCGGGCATAGCTGATCCAAGAACTCCACTTTGAGTGGCAATGATAGTAGATGCTACTTCACAGGTTTGGGAGTGTCTGGCAGTCCCTACCTCTTTGTCTGGTGATTTTTCTACAGTAGTGTTTGCTTTGATATTACTTTCTATTTTGAAGGTACGTTAGGCTTCAGCATGCTTCCCAAGGCTGAGTGGAAAGTGTGGTGGTTCTCTTGTATTTTCCCCTTGTTTTGCTGATACAGCATTGCAATGGCCAGTTCTCTCTATTGTTCTGGTCACTTCTATTGCTTTGTTATATATCCCTTCTCATTTACCCGCCAGTCAGTCAGTTTCAGATTGTGGCTGTTCTCCTTTCTCATCCTGTTATGACCTTTTCTTTCTTTTGCTCTCTCTGGCTCTTGACATTCTCTTCAGATGCCGTGGCTGACTCCTTGCCCCAACTGTTTGCCTACGGCTTCCAAAATTTTTCTGTGAAAGGAGCAGCAAAATAGGGCGCAGGAGACTCCAGCTCCCATTGTGCCTTTACTGCTGCTGGGAGACACTGGGCGAAGCTGCTTCTTTCCTGGGCTCCTCACTTGTGGCTGGAGGGTGTGGATTGCACTTTCCTGGATCTACTTCAGCACTAAGATGCCAGGTGGGATCTTCATGTGGGGCAGAAAGGGCAGATTGCGAAGGAAACAAGAATGGTCTGATGATGTAGGTGTGGATGTGTGCCCCCATCGAGTGTTTCTGTTCTAGATAAACAATTGGAGCTTTGGTTGTTCTCCCACTATTTGGAGAAAGACTCATATTTTTTTAAAAAACAAAAAAACCAAAAGCACCATCCTTGGCATTTGTTAATCCGGTTGCTTTCAACCCTAGATTCACACTAAAATTCTCTCAGGAGCTTTAAAAAAAATAGTGATGTTCTTAGCTTATCTTGAGGGAATGATTTATCAGTATTTTTTAAATCTCCCCAAATGATTCTAATTTCCAGCCCGGGTGGACAACTACAGCATCTGGTCTGTAAAGAGAGTGTGGACTGGTGGTTAGGAACATAGCGTGTGTTGAGTCAAATCCTGGCTTTGCTCCGGAACAGCTTTGAGAGCTTAGGGAGGTTACTTAACTTCTTTGGGCCTCAATTTCTTGATATGTGAAATGGGTTGACTTGGTTATGGGGAATTGGTAAGACCCAGGAGTGGGGTGCTGTGTACACTTTGGTTGTTTAAGAGAGAGTAGTGGTTGTTCATCACGCTAATCACACTATTACAATTTATATCTCTTAATCACGTAGGGTCGTCTTGTCTTAGTTCAGTTAACACTCTCGTCACCCCCTGTTCACCTTTAACATATTTAGCATAGTATAATCAGTTTGAAAAGAAATTTATGAGCCTATTCTTTGCAAGTCAGTGAAAAAATACAGAAGGCGGATATATTAATAAAAACCAATCACCCTTATAGTTTTGATCCATTTGGTGCCACATCAACTCTATGATCTCATCAATAGCAGAGGTGGATTAAAATACATATAAACTGATACAAAAAGATGACCAGGCTTTTATATCCACTTCATGAAAAATGACTAGCTCTTTAATAAAAACAGTTCTGTCACCAACAAATAGAAAGGCTTGAAATTCACGGTTCTAAGAGAGCATTTTATTTTGGAAATAAATATGAATGTGTTACACGTTTACATTTTTTACTTTATAATAGGAGATGGAATTGTTTTTTTTAAAAGCACAAACACAGATATCCTGTGCTCTGCAGACTAAAACTAATCAACTTTTTTTTCTCTTTTTGGCTGAGATTCTAGAATAGCCATTATGCTATTATGGTATCCTTCTATCAGCAAAGCAAGGATTGAATAAATGGACATAAGCAATATTAACTGAGTGCCCACATTCCTTTTTTTATGTCTGCATCTGAAAATAAATAACAAGAGTGCTTATTAATTTCTCTAGGCCTGGCATAGGTAATCATGAACATCAGTAGTTATGCTGATGTCTTTTACATGTGAAAGGACTGCATATGGGTACAGTTCGCATCCTTTTCTCTTGGAATAAAATGTTTCATTTCTGCATATTTACTCTTTTCAATTAAATCCTAACTAAAGTTTATGTTTCCATATTGTGATGTGTTCTTTTTAGCAACACAATTAAGAAGATGTTATGAACTTTTAAAAAGAACTTTTGAGCTACACCAAGAAGAGGCCCATTGTGAGAGTTAATTTGCCAATTCTTTTAACTCTTAGCTTTAATATACTCACGTTAAAATTGTGTGAAATTCCACGGAGATCTGTGATATTTGGTGTTTATTGGTTAGAGTGGTCAGTCTGATTGTTTATTACATAAGGCTTTTGGAGTCTAGAGGCCTGGACTCCTGGTCAGTTCATCTCAGGCTTAATAGGTTGTTATTCCTCTGACATGCTACTTAGGGATATAGACATGACTACTATGCGGTCAAAATCATTGTCTTTAGGGTTAAAAGGGATCTTTATGCAAAATCCTTATTGATAAATTAGAAAAATAAGATTCAGAGAATTTATAATATTTAAACTTGAGCCTAGGCAGATTAAACATTACAAGTAAGGGGTAGAAAACTTCTACTGATATTAACACTACAATTTAAACTTCACATAGAAATTGGGTGGACTGGGTGATGTCCTTAGATTTGATACTTTTTAAAAATTGATGAGAGAGAGAGGGAGAGAGAAGGGGAGGGGGCAGGAGGGGAGGGGAGAAGAAGGAGGCATCAATTTATTGTTTCATTTATTTATGTTTTCATTGATTGATTCTTGTATGTGCCCTGACTGTGGAATGAATCTGCAACCATGGTGTATCGGGATGATGCTCTAACTAGCTGAGATACCTGGCCAGGGCCTAGATTTGATACTTTAGATATGGAAAAACTTTTCCTAATAGAATTTGGGAGAGGTATTACCTATATGTTATGAAAAATATAATGCCAAGAATAAGAATACAAAGTATAAAATGTCATTGTTTATGTATAAATGTTACCAGTGATGTCAGCTCTCGGTTCTTGAGTTCAGCAAAGAAAGAATTCAGAGCTAAGAACTCTAGTGCAAGAGGAAATTTACTTAGCATGCAAAGCAGAAGTACACTTAAAGAGAAGATTCCAGTGGGCTGCTCAGAGAGCTGCTTTGGGCCTTTTAGAAAGAAAGTCACGAGGGAGAAGAAGTGAGCGAGCTGGGCTGCATGGACTCAGGAAACAACTTAGAGGCAAAAGGAGGGCTCTTGGAGACAGGTTCAGGTAGTTAGCTCGGGACAAGCTGTCACTGCCCACTGCTCCCCTGGTTGCAAGTCTCATGGGACTCTCAGAGCTTAGGAGAAAGAAAACAAAGATACACACCTGAAGAAAGAAAGTGTGGGCATGTTAGAGAGAGAGAGCCTGTACTGGGTCCTTTGTCTTAAGAGTTTTTATATGTTTTCTAAAGGCAGAAATTTTAGACGAGATCTCAGGGGAGGATCATTCATCAGCTTTCCGGGTGTGTCCTTTAACATGCCGATTCATCAGTGTTGTGGTCTCTACTGATGGGTTGACACTAGAGTAGGTGGTCATTGGTCATTGCATCTGATTCTGATGTCAGCCATGGCAGCATCGCTTTGTCTGGTTTTGTTGCTTTTCTGGGCCTGGAGCTGAAACAACAGCTGAGGCCTAGATATTATCTCTAGCTTGACCAATACTCTGCCTCTGTGGTCAACAGACTGAGGATTTGTTCTTAAGATTATTTGATGCTCATCAGAACCTCACTGTCCCAAGGGCTTAATGCTTAAGGGAGCGGTTGGGCAAGGGAGAAGGCAAGTGAGTCAGGGTGCTGGATGAGGCCAGTTTAAATAAGCCGTCTGTCTCAATATCCCCATTCCACTTGCCAAGGAATTTTCCTAACTTCTTAATATCCTGCCACACAAATAAACTTCCTTGTATATAAACCCAGGCATTTTGATTTTATATATATATGAAATATTTTTATTTCAATAAATTGATCATTGCACATAGTCTTAAATAATATCTGGAAATGCTGATGATTAAGCACATCTCATTCTCTGCATGAATTGTATTAATGTAGGTGGAATTAGTATCGCCTAATGGTTGAATTCAGGGTCTGGAGTTAAACTTCATGGGTGTAAATTCTACTTCTCCCACTTATTGCTGTGTGGCTTCGATCAAGTTACTCAACCTCTCTGTGTCGTAGCTTCCCCATGTAAGAGATATTGAGTGCATTTTTTCATGGGATTATTGTTAAGTAACATGAGATAATACACATAACACAATTAACCAAGTTCTTGGTACCTACAGTACTCATAAAATAGTCATTAATAGACATTATGTAGTTTAATAATTAATATCAATTACCTTTTAGGTACACTGATTTCTTTGTCAAGAGAACATTTGCAACTCAGATTTTTGAACCTTCAGTTTGAAACTTACTTTGTATTTTTTATTATGTTTTTCTCGTCTACTTTTTCTTATTTACTTTAGGAGAACAATGAAATGAAAGGGAAAATAGAGGTGTGGAATTGTAAGCACTGCAAGGACTCTTGAAAATTTGTAATCATGTGAAACACTGACAAACTTTTAATAACAAAACCAAAAACCTGGGCTCTAGGATTTTTGGAAAGACCAAGTGGTCTTAAAAAGTAACTTAAAAATGTAGCTTCTGCATGGATGTGCTTCATGAACTTGGTAGGCACACGTAAATCTGGAAATTTTGAAAATGACCCATATCAGAGAGTGTCTCCGGTATAGGAGCCAGCTTATGTAACTATGGTGTGTGTAACCAGGGTGGACTCATTCAAGGACAGTCTCTTCTTAGGCACCTGAATTGCAATTGAATAATTACTTGAATCCTCCCGAGTTCAAGGAAATTATTTTAATACTTGAATTGGATTTTCTAAGTTAGAATTTAGACAAAAATAATTAGCAAGAAAAAAAATAATTCGTGCAGAATTATCAAAGAGTTTAAGTCCATATATACCTAATTGCTTCATGTATAGTTCTTAATCATTAATCCCACTCCATAGGAATGAAGTCATCCCTACGCGGAATGTGGAAGCTAAAGTCTTAGCCTTGTTCCTTTAAAAATATATTTTTATTGATTTCAGAGAGTAAGGAAGGGGGAAAGAGAGATAGAAACATCAATGATGAGAATCATTGATCTGCTGCCTCCTGCACGCTCCCTATTGGGGATTGAGTTCACAATCCAGGCATATGCCCTGACAGGGAATCAAACCCTGACCTCCTGGTCCATGCTCAACCATTGAGCCTTACCGGTTGGGCTTGTTCCTTTTTTTGTATAGCCTTCTCCTTGTGTCTCATCCATGTAGTCACTAGGGTGGTCCTACAAATGTTTCTAGTGATGCTTGGACTTCCTAGATTACTAGTATCTAAGAGAGTCCCTAGAGAGCTTATAAAAAGAAATGCAGATTCCTGGAATTCACCCTTATAATTTCTGACCAGGTCAAAGTTAGGACCCAGTAATTTAAACATTTTATCTAAATATTTAATAATTATCTCAGTTGATTCACAGACCACACTTGGAAATTAGTGCTCATTCTCTAAATTAGCACTAGTTCTCAACTTGGGATACGTATCAGAATTACGGTGGTTCTTCATAAAAGACCAGGAAAAGATCGC